TGAAGTAAGTAAGGACGGTCAGGGTGGTCTTGACCAAGGCATTCAACTGAGCGCTGATTGATATGTGTATATCATATCCCAAATGTGCCATTGGTGAAAAGAAGGATCCTATTTACTTAATGAAGCAGGGTCAGATTCCAAAATGTGGTCATGAAAAAAAAAATTCTAACTTCCAATGGAATGTTAAACTAGGATTCAACAGACTAGTGCATTAACAACTACAACAGAGCTGTATCTCTATTAATATACTACTTATCATTGTTATCTAATATTTTCAATAAAATGTTTTACACATCAGGAGGCCATGGCAAGAATAAACCATAAACAACAGAAAAATGCCTAGTAATGTATTCTGAACAATAAAATGACACACCTTCATTTATTCAAAGTAATTTTTTAGTTCTCATAAAATGTGAAAGAAAAAAGACAACTACATTTGGCACACAGAAAAAAAAAATTCACAACTGATAAGTTTTGCAAGATGTATTCATCCGTACAATAAAAAAATAAAATATTATGCTGGTGTGGAAAAAAACTGATAATGAACACAGAACAGTGTGGAAGGGAAAAAACATGTCATTTGATAAACCCGATCCATTTCTTACTTTTATTTTTTTAAATAAATCAGCGGTAAGAATGGGAAACATTAAATTCACGCACAAAATGTAGGCCATGATTTAACCTGCTACTTTCCTCGCTATCTTTTTCTTCTGTTTCAAAGTCACATTTATCTGTTTCCTGTCTGCTTCATAATACATAAGCTAATGAAACAAATGGCTGAATATATTCTACAGGAATGTCATCTTTCAGCAATCGAAGAAAGATGCACTGGCCTAGTGTATCAACATAAAGTCTTTCAGAACCAAGACACCTCTTTACATGATATGCACTTCTGAACCCTTTATTCCTCATCCAACTAGCGCGATTACTCATTGTATCCAAACTTTTACAGTAACCCATTTTGTTCTATAAAAATATTATCTGAACAAGTTCAGAGCCCCAGATATTCTTACTTTGAGAAACACAGCTTTAGGATATAATTAGTTGAAATACTACTTGCCTGAGACCAAAAGAGTTAACCCTTAAGGTGTATGTAGTGGAACAGGAACTCCCAAGATATGACTGATTTACCATGACAGCTTGCACATTGTGCTGTAAGCAGCAAAGGTAGCGAGAACACGAAGAAAGTGAATTTTTAAGTTTACAACCTGGTTTCACAGTTGTGTTTCAACTTCTAATTCCTTACCAATTTAGATTTTAGTTTGTCTTTTAAAAACTATTAACTCTATGGTCCTTCCCTAAACAATGAAATACATTTGTGTCTGTATTATCTCAATCATGTAATATATGTTACTAAAAATGCTTAAAAATCATTAACACTGACATATATTTCTTAAATGTCTTCAGTAATTCCCCTTTCTCCCTCCCCCAAACAGTCAATACATGAGTACATCAAAAAGTTTTATTAACAAAAATAAAGTGACAATAAGATCAAGATTAACAGGATACATCAATAACTTGGGAATGTTACAAGCATGAAGCTTGTGATTCTGTATTTTAACAACTGTGACCACAGTCCAAGTGACTGCATGAAGTGACTTCATGACAAAGTAGCTTTTGAGTATAATTCAACATTACAGTTCTGCATACAAAGTGATAAACATATCAACATTAATAACAGTATCACATGGTCCCAACTGACAGTTTTAAAAAAAAAATCATGCAAAACAAGCATTATCACAGTGATGTTAAGAAGAAAAAAACAAAAACAAAGAGTTAATGATTCAATTCAGTCTTTGCTGAAGAACTGCCATGAGAATAAATAAGAACAGAATATTGTTGGCAACACCTCAAAACCACCTCAGTGAAAATTTTTGTGATATTAACCAAAGTGCTATTTCAGGACTGGTTTTTCATTTTACAATATGCCAAAGATACACATGTGAATTCCTATTTCAAAAAGGTCAAAATTAAGTGTTACTTTTCACACAACTACACAACTTTCATTTGTCACAGTAAAATGTTCAAACAAAAATGTTGTTTCAGCACTTAGGTAAATCAGGAGTGGTGTCAATAATTTGCAGGAATGCTACTAAGGCAAGAATTCTTCTTTTTGTTTTTTAACTGAACACAACAATTATTTAGGAAAAAAAAATCACTAAATGAAAAACTTAATATCTGACAAGGGAAAATTGTTTCAATTCATGGAGACTACAGGATTAATATAGTAAACATCAGATTAAATGTAGCGATATGTGAGAGTGATATTTTAAATATAAGGTTATATTTCAGCTCAATGTATATTTAATGATATAATCTGTAGGAGTGTTAAATAAATCAGACTGAAATATCTTTCACTGATATAATGCTAATTGGTTCTATTTAAGGTAGATACTGCCAGGCTTTTTTAGTCTCTGGCAGTACACAGTAACAATACAATTTTTACCCCCGGCGTGACCATAATAAACACTTTGTAGTGAGTTACAACATCTTTTTATTTTTTCCTAGAAAAAAAAACCTGGATACTGCAAGTGTCACTGAAGTGAGAGAACCATTCATATGAAGATCAAGACATATCAGATAAAGACCTACTTTCCCACCTTGAGGCACGCTGGTGCCATATTTTTCTAAATGAATCAGAACTTAGTATGTCACATGAAAATATCAAGTTGACTGATTTTGTTTCCCAGAACATTTCTTGATACCCATTTATATGCTATGATCACCAGAGGACAGGCCAATTTAAAAAAAAATCAACATGATAGGAATATAATCCATGACCACAGTGCCAACAGGCAACTGTGTTGCCAGTGCAGTAACACGGCTCCTATGCATTATGAGACAGCGTGTTATACTTCTTGGTCAGGCCTGGGATTTCTATCTACCGAAGGTGAAATAAAACGCCTAACCTCCTCACTACTGTGCATGCAACTGCTTAGGTAAGCCACAGGGTTAGAAAAAAACCATGAGACCACTAAAGAGGCATCATTGCAATGCATTTTTCTCCAGCCTCTCTCCAGAGAACACTTGTCTGCTGAGGAACGTAGTACAATGATAGTAGTTTTTAGTATTCTATAAATACCAATACTAATACCATCTTTCTTTACTGGAGAAGGTCGTGGGTTCGCTCCCTGGTGGTGCCGGACTTTTTTCCAAAACTGACCTTGGCTCCCAGGTCGACCCAGCCTTGAGTGAGTACCAGGTGCAGTCCTGGAAAGTAAAGGTGGCCGGCATGATGCTGACCACATCACCCATCTTGATCTGTCGGTCTATAAAATATAGGTCTAGCCCTATACACCCAATACGCCTGAATTATGTGAATAAGGGTCCTTTACTTTTACTGAATTTAGATAGTAAACTGCACACCTAATGATATGTCACTGATGATTTTCACATATAAATAATTCAAATGTTAAAATACTATTAAAAACATCCAGAATTAGGAGAATGTGCACCAATATTTTAGATAACTTTCTAAACATCTCTGTTAACAAAGTACCAAAAGCTAACAAATAAAGAAAAATGTGACACATCCAGCTTTCATGTCACTTTGAAATATAAGATATGGTGCTGTGCTAGACTCATACTTTTACAATGATATGTACCTCAGGGGATGTTGTCAATTTCATTGATGTCCCTGACAATTTTCTTTGAAAAACAATTATATGCTGTCTCCATGGTCAAGGTGGGCTGTAAAGTACCTACTGCTACCTTTAGGAATATGAGGTTATGCCGGGGTCTCTTCCACAACATAACCCTTACACCAGGATCTGAATGTCACGTGAATGTTCAACAAATATAATGATCTGCTGCAGAACCCTCTTTGTTTTTAAGGTTGTTCAACCTACATCATCATCTGGTTTAAACAGAAAATAACCGTTCACTGTGAGCCAGTAAACACAGAAGAAGGAGAAGAAGAATATCATGTTAATTAATTGAATGCTGCATTTCAGTAAAAATGGAATCATTGTAGTGAAGATACACATGATATTATTCCAGATACAACCCTGTCATATCCATTTTTTAAAAAAAGTTTTACTATGCATCATCACATGCTCTGCGGACCAGTATGGGCGAGCACGATTCTCAATGTCTTGAAATCCCCAACAGCATGTATCCACTGTCGTCCTTTTATATGACAAAAAGCTGGAAATTTTTCCCCATGGTCTTCTTCTTTCTTCTATATTTTATTCCATAAATTTTGCTAAAGTCACAACATGTTCCAGTTTTTATATTAATCATAACCTGGCCCCCCAAAAATGGGTGACTGCCGCTTTCTAAAATATCTTCAAATATATCTACCTGTTTCAAAACATATGGAGTACTCATGTGGCTCACCAACGAATTTAAAAAGTTTACTCTGGGATAAAACAACGAAATCTGGCCTGCTGGGTAAAAACTGTTACCCTCTGTTAGCAAGTGCCGAAAAAATCTCTTTACAGTTACACTGCTAGTTATGTTCATGTTACAATTTAACAAATGTATATGGTACGCTCATCTTGTCGGTGTCTGTAGCTTAAGCATTGCCCACTCGCCTCATAATGCCAGGATGCCGGGTTCCATCCCAGCTGTGGACAATTTGTCTTAAGGTGGTTTCGACAGTGGTACCGACAGCTGACCATTCAGAAGCAATGGCAAACTACTGACCTGTAAAATTTGCCTAGGAATACAACAGCTAAAAAAAAATTGCTGGGGCTGGTTCTGCAGCGTCCTGTAAAGTATACACAACTAACTAACCTCATCTTGACATTCACTTTAACTTTCCATTCCTTGTCCAGGAATTAATATTACAAACATTAAGCAAAAAGTATAGTGAATATAAAAGGCACACAGCACATTATAAATAAATAAGCATTAAAATGACCTGCAATAGGAAAGCACCTTGCCATTATAAAACAAGTAATAGTAAAAGCAGCAGTAAAAATCACCACACTATCTAAAGAAGAAAGAATGAACAACTGCAACAAATTAAGAACACCTGAATATGATTTTAAACAGTATCACTTGAAGACCTTCTTGAAAATAGACAATTTTTTGGTTGATTTCTTCGGAGACTTTAATTTTTCAGACTCCAACATCTGCTTGTCAAGAGCCCGTTCCAAGTCATCTGGTTCAAGTGATGTTTGTGATTCAGCAATGCTATGCTTGTCCTCCTCCCCACTAACAGATTCTGACCTGTTATCCTGAGCCACATCTTTTTTGTTCTTACTTTTCTCTGTCTTCTTTTCATGAGAAGACTCTTTCTTACTCGACCTACTCTTCTCTGGTTTTTCTTTACTTTTAGTCTTTTCTGCTTTATCTTTGCTCTCTTTTTCGCCTGATTTACTCTTTTCTGCTTTCTCTGAGTGGCTTTTCTTGCCAGTTTTTTTGCTTTTCTTACTGCCTTTAGCTTTAGCGCCCCCTTCTTTATCCTCATCAATCTTGCCAGGTGAATTCGCATTACTCTTGTTCTCGTGAACAAGTGGTTCTGTTGCTACAGCTTCACTGCTTGGGGCTGTGTTCAAATCTGCCCCACTATGTGATGGGGCATCAGTACTCAGCACATCATCAATGTCATCTAAATCATAGTCATCAACAACAGCTCCTTCTGAAGCCTCAGAACCTCCAACACTTGTAGTTCTAACTGCCAGCTTTGAAGAATCTTTTACAGGGAAGTCTGTGTCATCTTCACATTCATTTTCTTCAGTGTTATTGTTAGTATGCTCAATACTACAACTGGCATCTTCTTCTTCTAAGCTAGCCACCCTTGAGTCCCCCGTTTCAATAATATCATTACAAACAAGATTTTCTTCATCTTTATTCTCAGTTTCTGTATTTAGTATACTTTTTGACGACTGTTCTCCTATGTCTGCTTCTGTATCCGTTTTGTTTTCAGTATCTGGTTTTTCAAAGGCATCATGAGGTAAAATCTCTGTAGTACCTGGCACATTTGGTTCCTCATTACCTTTCTCAGAACTAATGTTCTGACTATCATAAACTAGAGATTCATCAATACTAGCCTCCTGTCCCACATCCTGAGTATCATTTACATCAGAAGCACCTTCTGCACTCAGTGTATCTGATTCTGTATCTCCTTTTTCTTCTGCAGTAACATCTATGTCTTGCCTGTCTGCAGACACCTGTGGTGTTTCTTCTGACAAACAAGGAACACAAACATTACTTTCCAAATTTACAGCAGTGCTATCTGGTACTTCACAAGATAGTGGTTGAGTAATATCTGATTTGTTTTGCTCATCCATCACCTCCTCTTCTGGACTTGCTACAGCATCCACTGGTACAACATCTTGCAAAATATCACAGAAAACTTCCTGAGAATCTTTGTTGATATGTATGACACCAGTTCCTAAATTGCCTTCCTCACCTGGTTTATCTTCTGGAATGGCTTCTTCCACTAAATTATCTGCACTAGCCGGCTTTTCATTTGGAAAATCTCCAATCTCTGTTTGATTACTGTCTGACGTTTCTAAAAGAACTGTTTGTTCTTCCTTAACTTCAATAATCTCTTTTGAGGAATCAACATTTTTATTTTGATTAGTAATATCAGTGTTACATTCAGCCCCAGGGATATTTTCTTCATCAACATGTGCTTCACTTTCATCTATGACATCTGTGCTGCTTTCTGTCTCTGTAACATTGTCCAATGTAATGCTTTGTCTCAACTCAGTACTGGTATGAGAGGGGGCTTCTTTAATTCTGATCTCTGGGTCTACAGAGGAACCTTCACTGGTTAACTCATTCTGGTCATAAACTCCCGGCTCATCATAACTAACAGTTTTGCTGGATGGAGATGGTGTGCTAACTGCATCAAAGAATTCATCAACGTCATCTTCAGCCAAAACATTGTCAGGTTCTGCTTCAAGACGTGAAGAAGCTTCATGAGCACCAACTGAATTCCCCACAATAAGACTAGAGTTGTCTGTGTCCTGACATTCTGAATCTATATCACTCTGAGTTACCAATGATTTACTACCCAAAGAGATTCTATCCCCTTCAACTCCCTGTGTTAGCCCAACATTTACAACTTCATTCTCACAAGACACAGGCGTGCTTGCTATTGCAATACTACTATCATTCAGAGTAATTCTGTCAGCACCATCTTTAGAGTCATCTGAAACTTTTGCAAATGCGGACCCATCAACTTCATCAACAGAGTTAGAAACCTGGACACTATCAGCTGATTTTTTAGCTGCTACAGCTGCAGTATCACATGTTTTTTCTTCAGTTTTCTTTAAAAGGCTATGAGATTCCGTAGATGCCAGAGCAACATTCCCAAGGAATACAGTATTATTGTTACTCAACTTGACCTGGGATGACTTCTCAAGTACAGGCTCCCCCTTCTCATTAACAAGAATGATCAAACCACTTTCCTGGGGAGAAAAAGGAATAAAATACTGATAATTAAATGAAAAATATAATTCAGAATATAAATTATTAAATGCTTCAAATTTTATTTTTTTAAATGCATAAAATAAAAAAAAATACATATGCACAAGATTTCTAGATGAGTTAAACTGACACAGAAATATTTGGAATACTACAATATGACAAAGAATTGTCTGATAATTACAATTTGAAAATATACATCCGAATTAGTGACTAGGACCAATAAAAAATATTTTGTGTCAAAACCAATTAAAAAAAAAAAGGGAAATGTGATAATAAAATCATTTAACAGAAGACAAATACAGAAAATCATGACACTGGGTTACAACCTGGTAACAGTGAGATGACAAAAGAAGAAGAAGAAGACAAAATACAAAAAATACAAATATATCAATATAAAAACAATCTAGTTTATTGCTGCTCTTATTAAAACAAAAACAGAGAAAAGCGAGTAGTGACTTGTGACTCATATAAATCAGCATTGAAGCAATAACTGCTGTGCTGCCATTTTGAATAAAGCACACTGGCTAATGCAAAATTAATAGCCTGATTGAACTGATAATAATCGCTAGGCAATGATAAGCACAAGGGGTTTCCTAGATTGTAAAGACTGAATCCCTGAGGACAGATAAACATCATTAAAGCCATTACAGAGATGGTGTATTCATCCCTGAATGTTGAGTTAAGAATCGACATCACAGCACTCGGGACACCCCCCTAAGTGCTATCCCCATCTTCAGCAGCAAGTGAAGAGCTCCAATTCCAATGGTGCCAGCAACCATCTGATTGTATATCCACCTCATCCTTTCCCGGAGTATGAAGCATCGGCACTGTTCACCCCTTCCCAAAGGGCCCTCACAATATCTAACCCGTCATTCATCAATTCACAGCCAAGCGATGCAGAGCCAGCCAGTCTACCTGCCTGCTCATTTGCCAACAACCGGCTGACCATTAAATTATAACAAAAGCAGTCTAACCAGATAAATCTGTCATTTCCTATCAAATATACACTTTACAATATTTATGGTGACAGGGTTAGAAATCTCAGTGTGGGTGCCGGGACCCCACTGTGGGGAAAAATATGAACAGATCTACTGCCTTCCAAACAAGCATGTCATAAGAGTTGATTAATTTAGGGTTTTTCTTCGGGGTTGGAGTGCATCTGCCTGAGTGGCAAGGAACCAATAGTCTGCATACAAATAATAAAATGGATGTGCACCCAAAATTCATGTTCTAAGCAATATCAAAGTGTAAAATGGACGAACAACCAGAACTTTCTGCTATGTTCGGTAAAACAAATCAAAGAGATTTTGAATAAAATCAGTGCCCACATCAGATACTGAGAAAAAACTAACAAGACCCAAACATTTAAAACTGGCTTTTTGTTTCCGAAGACAGAATGAAACAACACTAGAATGCGGTGAATCATCATAAAAAAAGGTCCTTTGGAGAGCGTAAATCTGATTACAGTCTGCCCACCCCCCCCCCCCTCCTTTTTTTTTTAACCTACAAATGTTCTAAAAACAAAATTGTAAATACAAGCAGCAATTTCCCAAAAATCATCAATTACTCACTGCTAATAACTTGCTGGTGATTTCAAGAAGAAGAAAAGACAAAATACAAAAAATACAAATATATCAATATAAAAACAATCTAGTTTATTGCTGCTCTTATTAAAACAAAAACAGAGAAAAGCGAGTAGTGACTTGTGACTCATATAAATCAGCATTGAAGCAATAACTGCTGTGCTGCCATTTTGAATAAAGCACACTGGCTAATGCAAAATTAATAGCCTGATTGAACTGATAATAATCGCTAGGCAATGATAAGCACAAGGGGTTTCCTAGATTGTAAAGACTGAATCCCTGAGGACAGATAAACATCATTAAAGCCATTACAGAGATGGTGTATTCATCCCTGAATGTTGAGTTAAGAATCGACATCACAGCACTCGGGACACCCCCCTAAGTGCTATCCCCATCTTCAGCAGCAAGTGAAGAGCTCCAATTCCAATGGTGCCAGCAACCATCTGATTGTATATCCACCTCATCCTTTCCCGGAGTATGAAGCATCGGCACTGTTCACCCCTTCCCAAAGGGCCCTCACAATATCTAACCCGTCATTCATCAATTCACAGCCAAGCGATGCAGAGCCAGCCAGTCTACCTGCCTGCTCATTTGCCAACAACCGGCTGACCATTAAATTATAACAAAAGCAGTCTAACCAGATAAATCTGTCATTTCCTATCAAATATACACTTTACAATATTTATGGTGACAGGGTTAGAAATCTCATTTTACACAATCTTCTTGTGTGGGTGCCGGGACCCCACTGTGGGGAAAAAATATGAACAGATCTACTGCCTTCCAAACAAGCATGTCATAAGAGTTGATTAATTTAGGGTTTTTCTTCGGGGTTGGAGTGCATCTGCCTGAGTGGCAAGGAACCAATAGTCTGCATACAAATAAGCCATATCTGTAAAATGGATGTGCACCCAAAAAATTCATGTTCTAAAACAATATCAAAGTTCTGAAGTGGACGAACAACCAGAACTTTCTGCTAGAGTTTACAGCCGGTGAATCGAAAAAAGAGATTTTAATAAAATCAGTGCCCACATCAGATACTGAGAAAAAACTAACATAGACCCAAACATTTAAAACTGGCTTTGTGTTTCCGAAGACAGAATGAAACAACACTAGAATGCTTTAGTACATCATCATAAAAAAGGTCCTTTGGAGAGCGTCAATCTGATTACAGTCTGCCCCATCACCCCCCCCCCCCTCCTTTTTTTTTTAACCTACAATGTTCTAAAAACAAAATTGGTAAATACAAGCAGCAATTTACAAAATTCATCAATTACTCACTGCTAATAACTTGCTGGTGATTTCAAGAAGAAGAAGAAGACAAAATACAAAAAATACAAATATATCAATATAAAAACAATCTAGTTTATTGCTGCTCTTATTAAAACAAAAACAGAGAAAAGCGAGTAGTGACTTGTGACTCATATAAATCAGCATTGAAGCAATAACTGCTGTGCTGCCATTTTGAATAAAGCACACTGGCTAATGCAAAATTAATAGCCTGATTGAACTGATAATAATCGCTAGGCAATGATAAGCACAAGGGGTTTCCTAGATTGTAAAGACTGAATCCCTGAGGACAGATAAACATCATTAAAGCCATTACAGAGATGGTGTATTCATCCCTGAATGTTGAGTTAAGAATCGACATCACAGCACTCGGGACACCCCCCTAAGTGCTATCCCCATCTTCAGCAGCAAGTGAAGAGCTCCAATTCCAATGGTGCCAGCAACCATCTGATTGTATATCCACCTCATCCTTTCCCGGAGTATGAAGCATCGGCACTGTTCACCCCTTCCCAAAGGGCCCTCACAATATCTAACCCGTCATTCATCAATTCACAGCCAAGCGATGCAGAGCCAGCCAGTCTACCTGCCTGCTCATTTGCCAACAACCGGCTGACCATTAAATTATAACAAAAGCAGTCTAACCAGATAAATCTGTCATTTCCTATCAAATATACACTTTACAATATTTATGGTGACAGGGTTAGAAATCTCATTTTACACAATCTTCTTGTGTGGGTGCCGGGACCCCACTGTGGGGAAAAATATGAACAGATCTACTGCCTTCCAAACAAGCATGTCATAAGAGTTGATTAATTTAGGGTTTTTCTTCGGGGTTGGAGTGCATCTGCCTGAGTGGCAAGGAACCAATAGTCTGCATACAAATAAGCCATATCTGTAAAATGGATGTGCACCCAAAATTCATGTTCTAAAACAATATCAAAGTTCTGAAGTGGACGAACAACCAGAACTTTCTGCTAGAGTTTACAGCCGGTGAATCGAAAAAAGAGATTTTAATAAAATCAGTGCCCACATCAGATACTGAGAAAAAACTAACATAGACCCAAACATTTAAAACTGGCTTTGTGTTTCCGAAGACAGAATGAAACAACACTAGAATGCTTTAGTACATCATCATAAAAAAGGTCCTTTGGAGAGCGTCAATCTGATTACAGTCTGCCCCATCACCCCCCCCCCCCCCCCCCCCTCTTTTTTTTTTAACCTACAATGTTCTAAAAACAAAATTGGTAAATACAAGCAGCAATTTACAAAATTCATCAATTACTCACTGCTAATAACTTGCTGGTGATTTCAAGCTGTTGTTTTAATACATTCAAATCTTTTCCCAAACTCTGTAAATCTCGCTTCTGAAAGTCTGACTCCTGCACAAAACCCCAAAAAATATTAGTATAAAAAATGAGCAGAAAAAAATGCCAAACAAGGGAAGAACAAACTGTTACATACAAGGGCCAAAACAAGCTAATAAACATTTGCACATGCTTAGTCATTGCATTATGAGATGAGACACCTGCCTTGGAAATTAGGAATTACAACACGGATTCAGATTGGACAGCAAAATGGGGAAATTTACTCATGATAATGAGAAAACACAGGATATGGGTTAGGGCAACCCAAGGAATAATTCATGTGCGAAGCAGGGGAGAGTTGTGAAAATAGTTAATTCTGTGTTAAGAGTGAATGCATGAGCAAGAGTAAAGTAACTGAATGAGTAAGCACAGGCAAGCAGGAGAGAATGTGGATCATTCGATGGACTGGAGCCCAAGAATATGTGAGCATCCATTAAGGAAGAGTCTACTGTGTGCCTGAGTGCTAATCTGCTGAATCAGAATACCAGCTGTAGTCACCAGTATGCTGCTGTAATGGATGAATCAGTCTTCTGATGATGTGTAAATGGTAGTTATTTAATCCTATTTCTTGGAGTGTTGTATGACGGAGCCGGAGAGACAGATGTCAGCTGAAGCTTCATGAAATGTGCTTAATAAACTGCTGTAATGGATAAATCAGTCTTCTGATGACGTGTAAATGGTAGTTATTTAATCCTATTTCTTGGAGTGTTGTATGACGAAGCCGAAGAGACAGATATCAGCTGAAGCTTTATGAAATGTGCTTAATAAACTGCTGTAATGGATGAATCGGTCTTCTGATGATGTGTAAATGGTAGTTATTTAATCCTATTTCTTGGAGTGTTGTATGACGGAGCCGGAGAGACAGATGTCAGCTGAAGCTTCATGAAATGTGCTTAATAAACTGCTGTAATGGATAAATCAGTCTTCTGATGACGTGTAAATGGTAGTTATTTAATCCTATTTCTTGGAGTGTTGTATGACGGAGCCGGAGAGACAGATGTCAGCTGAAGCTTCATGAAATGTGCTTAATAAACTGCTGTAATGGATAAATCAGTCTTCTGATGACGTGTAAATGGTAGTTATTTAATCCTATTTCTTGGAGTGTTGTATGACGGAGCCGGAGAGACAGATGTCAGCTGAAGCTTCATGAAATGTGCTTAATAAACTGCTGTAATGGATAAATCAGTCTTCTGATGACGTGTAAATGGTAGTTATTTAATCCTATTTCTTGGAGTGTTGTATGACGGAGCCGGAGAGACAGATGTCAGCTGAAGCTTCATGAAATGTGCTTAATAAACTGCTGTAATGGATAAATCAGTCTTCTGATAACGTGTAAATGGTAGTTATTTAATCCTATTTCATGGAGTGTTGTATGACGGAGCCGGAGAGACAGATATCAGCTGAAGCTTTATGAAATGTGCTTAATAAACTGCTGTAATGGATAAATCAGTCTTCTGATGACGTGTAAATGGTAGTTATTTAATCCTATTTCTTGGAGTGTTGTATGACGGAGCCGGAGAGACAGATATCAGCTGAAGCTTTATGAAATGTGCTTAATAAACTGCTGTAATGGATAAATCAGTCTTCTGATAACGATTTGTAAATGGTAGTTATTTAATCCTATTTCATGGAGTGTTGTATGATGAAGCCGAAGAGACAGATGTCAGCTGAAGCTTCATGAAATGTACTTAATAAACTGTGAACACTGTTAATGGTTGTTAGGTGATCCTCTGAGGATTTGTAGTGTGGGAAGTGTCTTTTTGGTCTGTAATTCCTGGACATTAGCAGTAACCAGTAGGCAGGTTATTAACCTCACCAAATCATCGTTCCAGAAAAAATATGTGGAATTACCTCATCTGCACGCTATAGCTGACTCCAAAGCTGTGCATGATCAGTAAACAATTCAATAATGCCACAACTCTGAACTGAACTAAGGACCACTATAACATTACTTTAGAGCACTAACAAGCCATCACTCAAGACAAGTACAGAAAAACCATAACATCAGGCTTAAAGTCGGTAAGAGTGAGACAACAAAAGACGATGAAGAAGAAGAGCACTAACCACCATACTACCATGGTGTTGATATAAGATGCTGTTATATTTAACTTTAGTATCAGTGTATACAAATGGTAAAACCTGTATGGGTTCCATTTTAATGGAAAATAAAAGAACAAACCTCTGCTCCTTAACAAGCATGTCATAAAAAAATGACTAAATTAAGGACTTGCTGAAATAAGATGTGCTGAAGAAAATACAGAACTCCAACAGCCTAGCTGTAAACCACAAAACAACGTGCCAACTGCCCTTTTAAGGGCTAACATAGAAGAAAATGGACAAGAAGAAGAATTAGATGAAGAGGAAGAAGAAGATACAAATGGTAGTCACTACTTCAGTCTTACCCGACACTTCTCTTTATAATGTCGCTGTAGTTCAGTATGTGCCTCATCAAGCTCCTCCATCTGATCTTTCAGAAGCTCCACCTGGTAAACCAAAGACTGATTCTCATTGTTAAGCTGGGCACTGTTTACCATAGCAGTTTTGTACTTCTTCTCTAATTCTCCGACGTCAGTCTGTGGAGGAAATACAATAAAACTACTTGTAATTTACAGCATTTGGTCATTTATGTATAACTGAAGAACTGTTGATTTACAGAACCTTTTGTGACAAGTAGTTTTAGTTTTCTTTCTTTTTTTTTTTTAAACAAGAATATCAAGAATACCACGGAGTAAAAGAAAAACAAGACAGGTCAAATCAGGTTAACGTATTAAAGAAATAAGATGTAGACAGTCTGTGTTTTTCAGACATGTTATAAGAAAAAAAAGTTCCCAGAACTTGGTAACAACAGCAGATTGACGGAAAAAGAGCTAGGAAAAATCAAAGAGATAAATATCTGTCTGGATGGCTTGGTCATTTGGAAGGAGGGAGAGCAGGAGCACTGACCTGATTTGTGATTCTAGTGGTCATGTGAGATGGCAAAACATTACAGCCTATGCTTATCGGTACAGCAAATGATGATAATGGAAATGATTAACAGACAATCAGTTGACTGGTGACAAATTATGTGGAAGCTGAGGCATGCAGTTAACAGAATAATGAGGACAATAAAAAGCACAATAAAAATATAGTGCAGACTGATAAGCAGAACTCACCAGAGACACAAGAAAGGGTTCTTCTTATCAGAAACTCCTTTTTTCCAGATGTGAATTCAAGCAAGACAAATTGCAGGGGATAAACAAATTGTTCTTCACAGCAGAAATTCGCCACATATGAGATCATCTTAATAGGTCTGCACTACATCTTAAAAGATCAATTATCCTACAAAGAAAACTGAACACCCGCATCAGAAAGACAATCCTGATTCTTTGGCCTCATTATGCAAAGGGTAGATCTGAACATTGTTAAAATGGTAAAATTAAAGGGAAAGAGAACCAGAGGGGTACAACATGAGTGAAGATGGTTTAAAGTTTAGCAACATGGCTTGGAAGAACATCTATATCAAATGTTATTGACAGTAGGGTTTCCATGGCAAAGTGGTCAAACCATTTGCTCCATGCTCCAAAGGTCACCATTTCAGCGTCATTTGGTTCACAAGTACATTATCCCTGGAGATCGTTGCTGGTGCTATGGAGTTTGTGCTCTGTATATTCCTCTCACAAATGGCTAGCCATTTTGCAGAGAGAGACCAAGTAACAGAAGTTAGTCCTTTTAATTTTAGCCTTCATTATTGACCTTACATGAGACAGAAGGATGTGATTACCATTGCCACATGGCACAGACAACAAAAAGATATGATAATGATTAAATTTATCAATGTGAAAAATGAAGAAAACTGCTGTCATACACTTAGCAGTAATTACACCTCAATGATATTATATTTATTTATTTATGTAAACACAAAAAGCACATGAGAAGTAAATGGCCAGTATTATCTTGGGCAGCTTCACTTTTCTTAGAGAAAGCTCTGGGAACCATTCATGATGCCAAATCGACGCTAGACCAGTCTGCTACCGGTACTAGTAACTGTGTGCACTGCTGAAGATAGAGACAATACATTTATTGGAATGTTCAGAGTGTTGTGGTGTTGGTTCTTAGGCCAATCTATTGCAACCAGGCTGCCAAGAAGGAATTCATCCTGCGCTAGGGATTACATTTTGGCCACCAAGTCATGAAAATATATTGACCATAACCATGTATTTCAGCAAATAGCCAGTGTGGGTAATTTGTGCATTTAAAGTCAAAACATATGTAAACATGTTCATTCCAAGAAAACAATACAATGCTTAAAAGGATTAACTTCTGTTACTTGGTCTCTCTCTGCAAAATGGCTAGCCATCTGTGAGAGGAATATACAGAGCACAAACTCCGTAGCACCAGCAATGATCTCCAGGGATAATGTACTTGTGAACCAAATGACGAGAGAAGTAAAAGGCGCTGGACTTGATTCCATCTATGATTTCAAAAGGACTGGGCAGGATATAATAGTAAATAACATAACGGAGTAATAGACTACATGTCCTTTACATAAATGGCACAAGAGGGTGAGATGAAAGACATATTACTGATCAATAAAAGAGTATGGTTATGCAATGAATGCAATGTCACACAACAGTATGAACCAGGGTCATTAAAACAATGAAAAAAGGAAGGTAAATATTGGAGATGTGAGATATTAAAAGTATTTCTGAATTTCACCATAAAATAATGAACAAAATAAAAATAAAGTAAATTATATAGAGAATATTAACATATAAGTATACTATATAATTATAGACATGATGTTTAATGTATCAACAATAATAAACAATCTTTGATCAGCATTAAAAGGAAAACAAACCTTAACAGCAGCAGCATCATGTGTAGAATCATTACAAATGTCATCTTGTTCTGATCCAGACTGAAATATATAAATGATATGAATATATTAATATCAAAACAACACCAGGGCTTTTTTTCTTTCAGGCACACTATATGTCTGCTGCAGACATCAGCAATCATGGCCCTCTAATCCGTTCCGTATGAGATTTAATAAGGTTAGTCTTACTTATAAAACTTGCTGTACAAACTTTTCAACATACATCATTTGTCTCTGCATGTGTGTACTAGATAAATATAATTATATATACACACACACAAATAAATATTATACAGAAAGGTGTGTTGGCGTCTGTGGCTTAGGCGTTACGAAGGTGCTTTGTAATGCCGGGGTGCTGGGTTCCATCCCAGCTGCGGGCCTTGCGCCGGTTTCGACAGTGGTATCGAGAAGCCGACCGTCCAGAAAGCAATAGTAAACTACTGTACGTAATTTTGCCTAGGAAAACCACAACAGCCAAACAATTCTGGGGTTGGTTTTGCAACGTCCTGTTAAGGATACACAACTAACTAACTGAAAGGTCTATAGATAAATTTCTTGCTGGACAAATATTATTTATAAAAAGTTTCCTTTTACAAGATTGTATGACACGTCTCTCAGAAACAAACATGTAGATAAGAGATTGATATAAACTTATATCTGCTTCTATGCTCACCTGCGGATCAGAAGGTCATGGGTTCAAATCTGCATACACATAAGATGGATTTCTTTGAAAAATGATCTTGGTTTCCAGGTAAACCCAGCCTTAAATGTGTACCAGTTATCAACTTGGGAAGTAAAGTTGGTGGGCTTGAAGTCGACCACATCATAAAAACATGAAAATATTCTCATATGCCCGATGCACCACTGGCATGTAAAAGGACCTTTACTTCCCGTACATCTGCTCTAGTTAACACAACAATAACAGTCAATACCTAAAATCCTACATTGTAAACACTGATTACATCTAATAAACCTGTCATAAGACATAAAATAATTAAAATTCCACTCAAAATACAATTTTCGTGTAAGATTTACCTCTTTCTGCTGCTTTTCCATTTCCTTGGAGCGTATTTCTTTGGCTTCAACCATAAAAGCCTTCTTGGCAGCTAACCGGATATCAGCCTGAAAAAGTGTTTATCATTACTGTTGATTATAGTATATATAAAATATTTTACAATATATCCGTCATTGGTGGTTAAAAAAAAATTTCCTTTGTGCCACAAAGAACCGGTTTTAGTATATGGCCGTGAATCCTGAACAATTAGTAAATTAGTAAATTAACCACAAAATACATAAAATCTAAGAGATGCTTTTACAGAAGAAACGCTTAAAATTTCTTGGACAGCCACAACAAGTAATTCAAATGATTTGGAGGAGGAAAAGATCTGAAGACAACGTAGAATCTGAAAATCAGAAAGAAGCAGCCATTTTTGCCACATGATGAGAAGAAAAACATCAACGTGATAACTGGAAAGATTTATGGAAAAAATTATGTATATGCTGCCTAATACAAAAGCAATCAGATGAAATAAATGAACATTTAACCTCACTTTACCTTCCTAAGAAGAGTCGAATGCCTACTAGGATGGTACTGAAAGTAGAGGAGATGCTATTGTTTGGAAGGACAGTTCCCTTCCAATAAAACTTCAGGAATTTGAAATTTTTGTATTTTCTCTTAACTTTTTCTGCTTAATTTTACAACCTGAACCTGGTTGAAGCTCATCAGGTTTATCTTTTACTAAAAATCTGCCTTAAGAACTTTTTTTCTGCATTCTTTTCAGGGTGTTTCAAAAATGTGACATTGTCTGGTCATTTCAGACAATGATATTACAGCTTGTTTGAGCTTTGTTGGAGTGACACTTCTCTGCAAAGTCACTGACATCTATCCTTGCTGTTGTCTTGAAAGAGCTCAACAAAGACAGCACACGGTGACATGACTGATTTTAATTCATGTAAGTTTGTATTCCAAACAAAGGCTGTATACCAATCACAAGTTTTTGCGTCTAAACAGGATGTATACCAAAGTAAATACATACGGAGGTACCACTGTACTTTGTAAATATGACAAGAAGCAACAATGTATAAAATATCATCATCGTGTAGCAGGTCCTTTGCAGAACGTTGCTCTCATCACAGTCCGCCTGAAAGAAACTCTGTCTCTTGCCAGCTTTCCCATCTCATGAACTTTCACACTCAAGGAGTCATATCCTGTGCCCACCTTCATGTTGGTTGGCCCCTGCCTCTCCTTCCTGGTACCATGCCTTCTGCTATTATTTTGTCCAATCCGTCTTGGCGCTTGATATGACCAAAATTTTTCAGCTTCCGAAACAGGATGCTGTTTATTAGCCAATCTTCCTTGATGTATACAATATCACTAGCAATCAAATCAGTAGAAAGTGAACTGTCAGCTTATATGGGCAATCATACCTCTGTACAACTCCAACTCTGTGGCACTATATACCTACTCATGTCATAAAATCCACGCAATGAAGAAATACTCTAAAAGACTCTAGCTGTTACTATCAATATTTTGCTATTAGGCTCACCAGCTGTTGCCACATGTTGGAAGGGAATAATGGACAAAGTAAGTACAGTGATGAACATCTATGCTGCCTTCGAGGCCAGGATAAGAGACATATAACCAGCTTCTTAGGCTAACAATCAGTAGAGGTACCTTGGAGTGGCTGCTGCATCAGAAGAGGACTGACACAGTAATGCCCAGTGTGCAGTGACATCTGTTGTGATAACATTAAGACACAAAAAAAAAGAAAATGGTTGCAGATAAGTTGCCCGTTTCAGGACTGACTGACCTGAAAGCCTCTGAAAGAGATTTGAACATAGAGACCATTTGGCAAGAGTGTTAGCCACTGTGCCTCCACTGATCATACAATAACATGAACATGCTAATTTACTAAGCTCCCTTAATTAATGGTAAACTAACATGCTTTAAATACTTACTGCCTCTGAAATGATACTTAATGCCTCTTCTTCTGCCGAGTACTCTTCCATATTTATCCGCTGGCGCCCTGAGGACTGTGAGCTCATTTTTATGGTCAGGTAAAGAAGATTATTGAATCTTATTGAAGTACACGCCTGTGTGTACTACTAGCCTTGATGTTTTGTCATTACCTGGTTAAGACAAAAGAATATCTATTTGGGTACCCACTGAGATTACAAATAACACAAAAATATAATGAACACAGAGCAAGAGGAAGACCGTGCAGAACTTGGAACAGCGACATCAAGAACAGCCTTAAAGAAATTAAGATAAATTTATACAAAGTGACTTTTAGATGAGGTAACTAGAGGAAGAAAAGAATTAAAAGACATATTTACTTGACCTTTTCTTTCCTCACTTAATGGCAGGTATATATTCATCATCATGTGCCCTGCCAACTGGCATAGGCACTCATGCGTCTCTACAGATCATGATCCCTGGTTGACTGGAACAGCTCTCTTGATGATATCCTTCCATGCCATCGTTTTAGCCCATCCAGCATCATCTCTCTAGGTCTGCCTCTACCCCTTTTTCCACTGATCTTTCCAATTGTCACGATGTTCTTCAATGTCTCTCTTCTCATTATGTGGCCAAAGAACAGTGTTTGTCTCTTTCTCATTGTTGTCAAAAGAGATCTACTTTCATCAGCTTCTTTCAAGCAATCCTTGTCAGTTACTCTTGCTGTCCAAGGTATTCATAACATTCGTCTCAGAAATCACATCTCTGTTGCTCCCAAATTTTTCTTAATTTGTTCACTGACATTCCAAGATTTGCTACCATATAACAGAACATGTTCTATGTAACATTTTAGCACCCTCTTTCTGACATTAAATGAGAGCAATTTATAGCAAAAAATATTTTTAATTTTCTTAAATGCAGCTTTGGCTTGACCTATTCTGCTTTTAATCTCTGTCACGCATTTTCCATTTGATGATGTGATTGTTCCCAGAAGGTGTATATTAAGTGAAAGAAAAAATGTCAAGTAAGTATACCTTATTTTTTTCTTTTCTTCCTCCAGTTACCTTATCTAAGTATGTGTGTGTGTGTGTGGAAAGGATCGTTTGAACGCTCTTTCTAAATGCTTCGTATAAATTTATCTACATTTTTGTAAGGCTGTTTGTGATGTCACTGTTCCATCTTCTGCACGGTCTGCCCCTTGCTCTGTGTTCCTTATATTTTAACAGCGTAGCTCTCTGTGGCAGTTGGTACCAAAGCATTCTCATCAGACGGCCAAATCAGGTCATGATCATCTGTTGCTCTTTAATGAACTGTGTGACTAGTCCTAGCCTTCTAATGTCTTTAATTTTGATTCGTATCTCTTCTTGTCAGCTTTTTTACAAAATTTAACCTCTTGTACAACTATGTAGTCATTAGTTGTTGTATGGTCCTTTGTTTGATATTGGCAGCATAAAGGTGAACACCTCTTTCACTTTTTCCAAATTGGTCTTGTGCTGAAAAATTGACACTCTTTGAATATCCCCTCTTAGAGGGTCACTTTAGTCACTAACCCTCTACTTCTTCAAGTCCAATGGCTGTAATTTCTAGCGGAAAGAAAGTAGTAGGTACTGGTTGTTCCTCTGCTTCTGGACTTTTAGTCTTGTTCCAGAACCTGAGTTTTGGGTGCAAATACATTTTACATATCTGGCTTATTTTTATGCATATTATTGGTTCCTTGCCTCTAAAACATCCCTAATTAGTTGACTCTTACGACATGATTGTTAGGTGGCAGTTGGTCTATTCTTTTTGTTCCCCATAATGTCTCGCATAATTTTTATTTTTTTACTGTACTACTAAATTATTGAAGAATTAAAACAGTTACATTTTAATATCTCAAATGTCACAACGACAGTCGTTACGACGGTGATGAGATAATGAAGTGAAGACCTGGAATTGGAGAATTGTTAATTTTAATGTCATAATACTAATTTGATTTGACTAATTAAATTTGAGATGTCAATTAACATTTTTGCAGTCTAACGTAAAATTAAAATAATAAAATTATCAAAATGTATGCAAACTACAAATTTTCAAATAAATAATAATTCAAGCTGAATAATATAGCTGATATAATATGACTTTAACATAAAACTTTCTATAAGAAATACATATTCTGTAGTGCAACGAAGACAAAATATATAGGAACCTCAAACAAAGCGACAAGACTTCCAGGAAGTGCTTCTGCTAGTGATCCATGTTTTTATTTTGGAGGTGAACAGATAGCCCGGATGTGCCTCTTCTGTGACTATTAAAATGTTGCATTAAAAAATAAATCTGTAATACAGATCTGTTCATTTTTGTAATAGTCACAAATGGTTTTTTTTCGGGGGGGGGGGGGGGGGGGGGAAGCTGCGTAGTCTTTAGGCATGGTGTCTGCCCCGGGTGCTAAAGGTCCCTGGTTCAAGCCCCAGTGAAGGATGGAATTTTTTCCACGTGGACTTCTAGTAATTCCCCCTGGTCTCTGAGTAGTGTTCATTTTTGCGCACGTAAAAAAAAAAAATACGTTGGCAGTTGGAAATCGAAAAGAGTAGACTAACGGCGCTGCCCGGGCAAAATTTGGAGGTACAAATCTACCCAAAGTATTTCAGGATCCTCTCCCGTGCAACAGAGTACGTGCACTGTGCTGAGATTTTTCACACTCTGGCTTGAGTTAGAAGAGTTGAGTCAAGAACTGACATCACAGTACTCGGGGCATTCCCATGCATGCTCCGTCCTCATCTGCAGCAGCCAGCGCAGAGTTCCAATACTGATGGTAGCGGTCACAATCTGGTTAAATGTCCGTCTTGCACTTCCTCTGAGTATAGTGAGCCGGCCAGACCCTCTGGTTACACACAGGTCCCTCATTCTTTATTTGCTATAATAATCTTCTTTCTCTACTGATTCCGTTGCTTGATCCCAAAGGGTCTTGACCACATTTGCCTTGTCATGTATTAATTCACCACCCAGTAGTGCGGATCCAGCCAGTCTGTTTGCATATTCATTACCCACCACGCCGTCATAGCCTAGGGAAAAGATCCAATGTATGCTAACCACCCGTAACCTTTCCAGTGAAGCTTGACACTCTGCTCGAAGCATCCATGTCTTCACCTTTTTCAGCATGCTTTCAGAGTCTGTTACAATTACGACATGTAGGCTATATGCATCGTGTTCCCTAGCCACCGGAGAGCTGCAGTTACCGCCCCCACATCCATTCTCATGCTAGATGTTGTAGTGTCATATGCTAGACTGTCTTGCATTAAGGATGTTCCATTGGCTTTCGCTATAAACCCCAAGGCACTCCTCTTTCCTCTCAACACTGAACCATCTGTATAGATAATCAGATCTCCTAGGCGTGAATTGTCGTGAATCAACTGTTAGACTTCAACCTCTGGAGCACAGCTGGCCACTCTCTGTACAATGTTATTATAACCCTACAACACAGGTCAAACTTTCCCGCTGTTAGTTAAAAGAAGAACGGAGCACTTATGGGTTACACTCGTGTGCGATGAAGTTGATCCATTAGTTCGTTTGTTAGAAGTAAAAAAAAAAAATCTGACGCTCCAGCGTGCCACTGGGACTTTGCTTTATTTGAGTCTTCCTTTCTGGGCGGGTTTGTGTTAAGGCGTGTGAGTGCGCCTTCTGTATGCCACTTATTCTCCTTACCATTATCGGTGTTGGAGCTGATTCCTTAGCTGGTTGTCAATCACGCAGTCACTGATTCCACCAGGGCAGACGCCAAGAGCAACCTCTCGAAACAAACAAGCCAGCACTGAGCCACCACCCACACGGCCCTTTTCAGGGCCCCACTTAATTTTTTTTTTTTTTTTGGTGTGCTTTTATTTATTCACCTCTTACATGTGTAAAGGGTGTGAGCTTTTCTGGTTTTTTGTTTTTTTGCCTTCCAGTTTTCTTCTGACCACACATGGTATAGCGATAATTGGAATAAAACATAGGGTATGTAAAAAAAAAAAAAAAAAACTAGAGGGCAGGAATGCTCCGTAGGAATATATAGTGAGGTCGAAGGATTGAGAGAGATAGATAGCTTGCTAGGTAAGAAGAGGGAGAAGTGGGATCCCATGGTCGGGTTCCCCTGGCTGACATCATCTAGTTGGTCAGGCGGCTTGTCTGTTCGATGTTCGGCCATCTAGGTTGACGCTTGGGGCGTGTCCTCGCCTGCCGATCGGCTGATGAATTGCTTCACCATCTTGTGCATCTCAGGGCTGCCACTTGTTTTGAGGCAAGCCCTGACTGTCATGGGTTTGCCATACTTTTCAAAGTGGTTCCTCAGTTCTGTTTGCTGTGCTTTGTATTTGCTGCACGATAGCAGAAAGTGTTCCACAGTGTTGAGTTTCCAGCATTCCGTGCACATCGGGTTACTGGATCTCTCTTTCCAGGTCCCAAATCGCAGTTTCCACAGTGTTTTGATGGTTGGTATTTTTGTGGGTTCCTTGACTTGGGACCTGTAGCTGGGTTCTTTGAGTAGCCGGTGCGCATGTCGCCCTTTTGTGCATTGGGCCCACTGTTGTTTCCACACTGCACCGACGTATTCTTTAATGCGAGCCTTGCCCTCATTTTTTCCAAGTCCGACATCTAGGTAGTTGTTGCTGACGGTCCCTCTCTTTGCCGCCTGGTCCACCCATTCGTTACCTGGGATACCTCTGTGGGCGGGTATCCAGGCTAAAGTGACGGGGCAGCCCATTCGGGAAAGCTCGGTGGTGATAGTGAGTATCCTTTCCTTGATGTCGGATCGGGAGCATTTTCCTAGTCCCTCCAGGGCCATTACCGAAGCCAGGAAGTCTGAGAGAATTATTAGTTTGGTCGGTGGGTCACCCGCCACTGCTTCTAGGGCTTTAAGTATTCCCATAAGTTCGGCGGTGCAGACCGCTGCGTGGGCAGGCAGTATGAAGTGATGTTCCAGGGCCTGGTCGGGTATGACTATCCCGGCACCAACCTCTCCATTTTGATCTTTGGATCCGTCGGTGTAGACTGCTAGGGAGCCAGCAGCTAGTGTGTTGATCCATTAAAAAAATCATAAACATATAGTCAAATCCTTCATACGTCAACCAATGGC